CATACATACATACATACATACATACATACATACATACATACATACATACATACATACATACATACATACATATACAAATATGTTTCAGTTTACTGTTGTCGTCAACGATGTGGAGCTAGCGAGGGAGGCATTTCTCAACCAGGGCGAGCACACGGCGGCGCGACCATTCCACTATGTGATGCAACGCTATGAGGCGGACGAACGTGGTGTTATGAACGGTGCGTGCGTTATACTTTCATGTTCTGTTATGTCACACAGTACAAATTCAATGAAGCCATCTTTCAAAAACCATGATGCCTTGAGCTGATCATATATTTCGTAATGAGACAAGTGTTGTATTGCGCATTGTGCCACGCATTGGCGCGTAACAGTAGATCAACGTACAATACATTTCTCCTCATTTCGTTTTGGTAATAATGAAAATATATTCTTGTGTGCGCAATTACCTGTACAGAACCCGATCTCCGACCAAATCCTTTGAGCCAGGTACATTATACTAAATTAAAAGACTTCGGAACTGAATTATCTTGTGCAATGAAGAAACATAACTCCGTTTCTCTCTACAACTAAATTGAGCCTATCAAGGAAAAAATATGAATCTATAAAATAATAAATCTATCATGAGAAACTACATTCCTACGCGATCTCATGGGCACTGCCGGAATCAATATTATATTTGAACCGAATCAAAGCAGGGATTAACTCAAGCTCTGTTGAGCTTGAGCTCATGTCCTGGCTTGCTGATCCCGGAGGGGTTTTTACAGGTTGTGATAACGGTGGAGCATTAGCGCCCGGCATTCCATCTCAAGTCACACTGGTATCTAGTGTATCTGGAATAGGTCAAGAGTCTACCTGAGCCTCCTCACAACATTGCCGGCTGAGAACATAATCCTAATGTCTACGAACGATACCTTCGCCTATCAGCTTAATCATATGGGACAGAGGTCATGTTTCCTCCATTATAAACTCTGTCAGCCAAATACATCCCGGATACCATCTCGGATCTTTTTCGGTTTTTATTTGACCGTTTGTGCAGCTCACTCTACCAGACCATTTGAGGCCGGGTGGTACGGAGCATTGTAGCTGTGGTGCATTCCTTTACTCCCAGTGAACCGTCTACCGTTCTACTTATTCCTCGATCATGACGTCATTGATATTAGTAGACCGTGCGTCGCAAAGTTGGGCATCAATGTTTCAACAGTGACTGGTAAAGATGCTGAGTTTACAGCATGTGCTTCGATTCAGTTAAATGGGAATCCACGATGATCAGGGTCATCTTTCCCGTAAGTGGACGTATACCCTCTCAAATGGTTGCTGAGGCCATTTCGAAGACCCAACGGAGCCGTGGCCGCAGATTTGTTAACTGATTGGCAGGTGCTACGCTTGTTTACTACTGCCTCAAAGTCTTTATCAAAATGAGGCCACCTCACAGAGTTACTACCAAGGTCTTTCAATTTCTGAATCGCCGCGTGTGTTTCACGTAACTCATCCATATCCTTTGTGCTTGTGGCGGTGTAATGACTCGGGTTTCTCACAGTAGGTAACCCTTGTACACACTATGTTAATTCTTTCTCGCTGCATGAGGTCACAGAGCCTCTGGAAAATCCCTGTCTGGTCAAGATGTCTGTACAAGCTGTAACAGTCGGGTCAGTACAGGATCTCAGGGTATACATGACTATAGATGCCTAGCCGTGACGGGCGTAGTACGAGTTAAATGTTTCGTTAGGAAAACTACATATCCCGGCACAGGAAGCTCGGCTGGATGCAGTAGCAATGTCAACCTGCTTAGAGAAACATTATTCCCGTGAGCTTCTCCAGTTCGGGATTCTCGTGTATATGAATGTGTTCCTAATGCTAAACACGAGGAGACACCACGTGTAATGTGCGCCGGTGTACGCCAAACAACCGCAGCAGGGGCTTGTGATACGTCCCCATCCCGAAGTGGCGGCCAATGATGTATTGGCAAGCGCATCCTTGTCCCATTGGGAGATCTCAACTCGGCAATAGACAATGAGAGCGTGACGCAATATAGCGATGCATCACAGGCCAACAGCAACTCCTATTCCTGGTCAAAACGCATTAAGCCCTGTCCTGACCGCAGCATCTCTTCTGTCCTTTTAAATGTCTGGCTCTGCAAGGGACCCTATTCATAGGCAGATTGCTTCCTCAGTAAGCGATTGATGGAGTTGCAACTACAGTTGAGAGATTTTGGAAAAACCGCACATACAAAATTTGCAGCCCGGGGGATGACTTTAGTTCCATGATGACTTTAGGTAGAGCAATCTTTTGCAATACAATCTACCCTGTCTTCTAGCAGATGGATGCTCTCTGCATCGATCTCATGTCTCAGGTATGTCACATCGATGTTTATTAAACTGACATTTCTCTCGTTTGACACTGCATTCGGGCAAGCGACACAGTCTTGCCTATAACGACTTCAAGTGTTCATTAGAAGACTCATCTGCTATCAATATGTCATCCCGACAGACATATACGGGTGGAATTTCAGTTCAGCATGTTGTCCGTAATTTTTTCCCAAATTGCTGGAGTAGTGGATACACCGAATGGCAAGCCTTTGTTGTCGTGAATCCCATTGTCGGTATTTTTGGTGGCATATATAATTATATATATATAATATATATATATATATATATATATATATACTTATTTATACATATAAAGTTCTATTATATAAATCAGACAAGTGAACAAGACAAGATTTGTTTATAACACGTGTTGTCGTAAGAGCTATCTACGATATAGACATGAATAATAATTCATCAGTAGACAAGATAATTAGTATTAGTGGCAACGGAATCCGAGGAGCGCATGAGACCACCTGATACATAAAGGGATTATTTCTCCTTGTCATTATATTATCAACAATTAATTTAATATAATAATAATCTCAAAATGATTATTAGCATAACAACTATTTTGCGTATTTTCACGGTGATTCTAGATTTTTGTGTCTCATCCAGGAATTGGGTTTAGCAATGGAAAGCTATGGAAGGAGCATAGGAAGTTCGCGCTCACCAAGCTGCGTGAGTTTGGCATGGGGAAGGTCAGCATAGAGAATAAAATCCAGGAGGAGGCGTCCGCCTGTCTCGCACATCTAAGCAACACCAAAGGGGAGCCGCTCGATCCACAGGTAATAACCAGAAATATTGTATACATATACATATATATCCATCTCTAACTCTCACACACTCTCTCTCTTCTTCATCACTGACGCTCCTTTATTCCTCTACCATACACCCATTATTTTGCAATCACTGATCCACTTTTATGGGTGTGTGCGTGTGTGTGTATGTGCGTGCGTGTGTGTATGTGTGCGTGCGTGTGTGTCCGTGTGTGTACGTGTATGAGTGTGTGCGTGAGTGTGTGTACATACATACATACATATCCACGTGTTTGTGTCGGCACCGCAGGCTCTGCTCAGCAGTTGTGTGTTGAACGTGATTGCCTCCATCATATTCGGTGCTCGGTACGACTACGCCGACCCCGCCTTCCTCAGACTTAACAACGACATCAACGCTATCTTCCATGATACCGACGCACAGGTACGTACTTTCGGTAATATACAGGTATGTTATGTCGGTAAAATAGAGGTACGTGCCGTCTGTAACGCACAGGTACGTATCGTCGGTAACCTACAGGTACGTACCGTCAGTAACACATTGGTACGTACCGTCGGTAACATACAGGTACGTACCGTCGGTAACATACAGGTACGTACCGTCGGTAACATACAGGTACGGATCCGGTAAAAAGTTGTCCTACGCTGAATGTGTTGCATACACAGGGCATGCTTAACTTCTACCCTGCGATGCGTCACCTTCCGGTCTTCAGCCGCATGCTGAAAAAGATGGACGCAGCGTACGTAGGGTTGAACAAGGAGCTGCAGAGTAACATAGGCGAGCACGAAGAGCAGGCGCCGGAGGAAGAGGGAGACGTGAGAGACTACTTAGACGCATACCTGCTAGCGCAGCGGCAGCGGGCGGGGACAGATTCAACGTTCACTAGTGAGTCAAGCGCTGCTCTCGCTCACACACACACACACACACACACACACACACGCACACACACACACACACACATACACACTCACGAACGCACACACACACATATACACACACATACACACACACACACCCACATACACACACACGCACGCACACACCCTGTAGAAAAGCACGCGCGCTCCCCCGTATACACGCACCCAAACAGGCACAAACACTCGCGCGCGCACGTCGGCGCTTACGCCATCATATGACAAGAATAAATGATGCTATATGAATTATAAAATACGCGAGGGATCCGACAGACACACACTCACTCATGTCGGCGTCATCTTTCAGCTTTTCAGCTGCTCATGTCTGTGCGTGATCTGTTTCTCGCCGGATCGCACACCGTCATGACGACGCTACGCTGGGGTCTGCTCTTCATGCTCAAATACCCTCACGTCCTGCGGAGAGTGCAGGCCGAGATCGATGACGTTATCGGACGAGGAAGGCTACCCTGCATGGCGGACCAAGACAGCATGCCGTATACGCGGGCGACAATAGCCGAAGTGCAGAGAGTAGGTAAGAAAGAAAGGTGGCGTGGTCAGTAGGTGGAAGGCACCAGTAGGTGGCATTCATAGACAGCAGGCCTGATTAGGTGTAACAGAAATATTCGTTGAAAATACTAAGGAAGACATATACAACACAGAGAGAGAAAGAAAAACGATAAAAGAATAGAGATGGAGGAGAGAAGAGGGACGGGGAGAGAGAGAGAAAGCGAGAGAGAGAGAGAGAGAGAGAGAGAGAGAGAGAGAGGGAGAAAGAGTGGGCGAGAGAGTGGGAGAGAGAGAGAGAGAGAGAGAGAGCGAGAGCAATGGAGAGAGAGCGAACGAGAGAAAGAGATGGTCAATAGGTATAAGCATAGCCATATTGCCTCACATCCTCTGCTTCCACCGCTACGTTCTGCAGACAGTTTCTGAAGGTGACGTATATTCACATTTAATGTGTTTAAATGACGACACACGCCATGTGGTAATGTAATCATCTGTTTTTCACCTTTGAAAATTATGGAAAACTCCCAGTACACCCCTGGATAAAAACAATTCGCCTTAGATGTATAGACCAGAACGTTATAAAGTGATCGACACTACTAAATGTCTAAATACTCTGAGAGAACGCCATCTGGGTGTTTCTTTCTTGTTTCTAGCGGATATCGTGCCGCTGAATCTGCCACACTGCACGACCGCCGAGATACAGCTAGGAGGCTACGTCATCCCCGCCAGTACGATGATCATTGCTAACCTCACGGCCATCCTCAACGACCCGAAACATTTCCCCGAACCGGAGAAGTTCCGCCCGGAGCGCCACCTGGACGAGCGTGGAGACTTTGTGCAGAACGAAGCTCTGATCCCGTTCTCCATCGGTGAGATTACTCGCGCGGCCGCTAGATGGCGCCACCGAATCGAGGCAAATACAGTGACGTTACTCGTCAAAAGACTGAAGCTGTGATCGTGCATGGTTAAGAAAGGCTGCTCGGTTATTGTTTTGTGCGAAACCCGAAACCGCAACCGAAATCAAGGATGGCTATATCCACACAAGTGATATAACTCTCATTGAACTATATCAAGCAATTATACGATTTTCTGTGTCTCTAAGTTCCGATACAATAATCAGTAACTCTTTTTGTGACAACTTTACATTACTTTCCATACCTACAGAACCAACTTTTCATGTAGAAATGGCTGACGACACGCTAGACTGCCAAAACGAACTTTGCGTGTGCCCCCGTGTTTCTCCTCTTATAGGCTTAACTCGCAGCGCCATCTATAATTGGATTCTGTTATTTGCCGACAGGTCGTCGAGTCTGTCCGGGAGAGGCTCTCGCGCGAGTGGAGCTGTTCATATTCTTCACAGGAATTCTGCAGAACTTCGACATCAGGCTACCAGATGGCGTTACTGATCCGTCTATGGATGGAAACTTGGGCTTCGTGTGGATGGCAAATCCGTATCTGTTGCATTGCGTCGCGCGACAGTAATCCAAAATGATTTCAAAACCTCACGCCGTACGAGTGATAAACTTGCCGCATGTTATCCTACGTTTTAACGTGTACCAAAACTGTGCTATCCTACGTTTTAACGTGTAACAAAACTGCGTTATCCTACATTTTAACGTGTAACAAAATTGCGTTATCCTACGTTTTAACGTGTAACAAAACTGTACTATCCTACGTTTTAACGTGTAACTAAACTGCGCTACCCTACGTTGTAACGTGTGACTAAACTGTACCACCCAACGTTTTAACGTGTAACAAAACTGTACTATCCTACGTTTTAACGTGTAACTAAACTGTACTATCCTACGTTTTAACGTGTAACTAAACTGTACTATCCTACCTTTTAACGTGTAACAAAACTGCGCTACCCTACGTTTTAACCTGTAACAAAAATGCGCTATCCTACGTTTTAACGTGTAACAAAATTGTGCTACCCTACGTTGTAACGTGTAACAAAACTGTACCACCCTACGTTGTAACGTGTAACTAAACTGTACCACCCTACGTTTTAACGTGTAACAAAACTGTGCTATCCTACGTTTTAACGTGTAACTAAACTGTACTACCCTACGTTTTAAACGTATAACAAAACTGTACTACTACTATCCTACGTTTTAACGTGTAACAAAACTGTACTACCCTACGTTTTAACGTGTAACTAAACTGTACTACTACTATCCTACGTTTTACCGTGTAACAAAACTGTACTACCCTACGTTGTAACGTGTAACTAAACTGTACTACTACTATCCTAT